TCGGAGATGACTGACCAGGCTTTTCGTAAAGTCTAAGTGCACTGCGTGATTTTCGGTACTACTGCATTCGGTCGCCATTGCCCAAGCAGCATCGGCGGTCGCACAGAGACAGGCACTCACCCCAGGCCGAAACAATCGTATGGTTAATAACCTCGGTCGGGCCTTTGTGGAAGGTGTGCCGTAGTATGAACCCTGAATAAGCCACTGGCCCAGAAGTCCTTCGCAAATATAAGGAAAGACATTGTTTACCCCTAGGTCCCCCGGAATGAGACCAAAAACCGGATATGTACTCATAATCGATCGTTCTTCGCTCGACAAAACCACCGGTGTTTCGTCAAAAGGCGTCCAGAGTTTCAGGTCCATCGACGGGTGGTTGGCGTTCGAAAATGAGGGCATCGCTCGGGCATTTTAGGTCTGAGAATAAACTTGGAAATTTGCAGAAGCTGTCAGAAACCAAGAACCCATAGCTCGAGGCATTCAGAGGACGGCCTGCTCGACGTCAAAAGAGTGTTTACTCAGCCTCCCCAGAGATCTCGCCCAATCGCCTATAGATCTGGCAATGGCTGAGCTGTCACTTCTATATCACGAGAACACTTCCAACCTGCATTGTGGCGCATCCAGTCATGGTTTACAATAGAGGGTGCCTATTCAAGTGGCTAAAGGCGTCCAGGTGATGATTTTCTCCGCGGGTGTTGCCAAATCACCATTCAGATGAGGATCAAAAAGAAGGGAGGTCTTTACAGTGGAGTCAAAAGATACAATAAGCACTGGAAGGGGCCACACTCTACAGAGAACGAACTTGTGTTATGCACACCCTGTATCCAACCTCAGCAACGATCTGAAAGAGCAGCAGACATTTTCTCAAGCTCGCATGGGCTAAAATAGGAATCCACGCCTAATTGGCAACTAGGCTTTGAGTTCAGAAGAGTTGGCGAAATTGAAGGGCGGTGGGCCATTGCCACCAATGCAAGCAGCAGGCCTGAAGATCACAAAATCAAATTTCCGACAAAAACGCAGGGCCTCACTGGTATCCTAAAGGCAACATTGGTTTGTGGTAGTAAAAGAGTATATTTCCAACGCTGCGCACAGCGATGGCTACTTCGGCGGAGAATGTTCATAGCTTCTAAAAAAGAAAAGAAACCAGGCTACATTGATACGAGGCAAAGAAGGATCGTTGAGTATAAGGCAGGGAGGAAAACAAACAATGAGACCAGAGAAGGAAACATGGGGATGACGAGAGCACAAGGAACGAGGGGCTGGACGAGGCCGAGCAAGGTGGTTTGGCGCAGGGATTGGCGCAGAAAATTAAAGAGAGTTTGCAGTAGCGGGGTATGCCACAGAACGACAGGGTCGTGAACGAATATATGACAGCTGATGACCAAGAAAGCGATTACTTGATAAGTAAAACGTAGAAGGGGAGCCTTGACTGGAGATAATGAGCGGGAAACGATGCAATGGGTGATGCTGAATAAGGTACGAGTCGGGTATTTTGACAGATTGGTTGATGACAGGGTCTATTGAACTACATTGAGTGCCATCGACGTCGGATGACCTCAAGAAAATGCGAGTGCGAGCGGAACAAGACAGGGATCAGGGGTGTTTGCGGGGTTCGGCGAGCTTGAAGGTCGCTCGCCCAAAATCAGTACCTTCTCGTGGCGAGGTTTCGTATTTCATGCAAAAAGGTTCTGTCCATTTCGGAATGAGTTACGTGAAAGCCCCGG